GAGATGAGGTCTTGCTGCCCAGGAGGGTCTCGAACCCGCGGGCTCAGGCAATTCACTCACCTCAGCCTCCCAAAGACACGGGATTACGGCTGAGCCACTTAACCCGGCTTTTATTTCTTTTTTAAAAAAAATTTTTAATTTGAAGATGTGGGTATAATTCAGGGTTACGTATACAAATGTTTATTATGCAGGTGCCCTTGTTGATGAGGGGTGCTTCCCTCCTCCCCTACCCCAGCAGTCTCCCACTATTGCCCCTCCTGCCCACCCCCGTCCCCTCCCTGGGCAGTTTCTTGCTGCTGCCAATCCCTTTCTTATAGTATTATGATAACTGTTCAAGGTCCGCCTATGAGTGAGAACATGTGGTACTCAGTTCTTTGTTTCTGTGATAGATCAACTGATGTAAAAACAAAAACCATATGATTATATCATTAGATGTGGAAAAACTTTTGGTAAAATCCAGCACCGCTTCTTGATAAAAACCCTCAAACATCTAGGCATAGGTGAAACATGCCTCAAAATTGTAAGAGCCATCTGCAAGAAACCCACAACCAACATACTGCTAAACAGACAGAAATTGACACCACTTCCCCTGAAAACTGGAACATGACAAGGACGCCCACTTCACCCCTCCTGTTCAACACAGTATTGGAAGTCCTAGCTAGAGCAATCAGACAAGAGAAGGAAATCTGAGGTATCCAAGTAGAAAAAGAGGTAATTTAGTTATCCCTCTTTACAGATGACATGATACTATACCTCGAAAACCCAAGAGAATCTGTCAAAAACCTCTTTCCACCGATAAAGAACTTTGGCAAAGTCTCAGGGTATAAAATAAATGTGCAAAAGACAGTTGCATTCCTATACACCAATAATAAATAAACAGAAGCCCAAATAAACAGCACAATCCCATTCTCAGTAGCCACACACAAAAAAATGAAATACCTTGACATCTTCCTGAGTTTTATTTCTAATGGCAAAATGCCAGAAAGCAGCGTTTTTAAAAGTCTTCTAAGTACAAATTAATTTTAGAGTTCCTTTCTGAATTATCAAAGTCCAGGGCGATTGAAACTTACAGAAGCCTTGTAGATGTCTTCCTCAACAAATGATAAGAAGGGAAAGATTTTCTCATCAGAGTAGCTTCCTTTTTTTTGACTTTTAAAAAAAAATTTTAAGATGGGGGGTATAATTCAGGGTTAGGTATACAAATGGTCTTTATGCAAGTCCCCTTTTTTTTTTGTTTTTTTTTTTTTTAGTTGGAGTCTCACTCTGTCGCCCAGACTAGAGTGCAGTGGCCGCTCCCTGCCACCGCAGCCTCGATCCGCTGGGCTCTGGCGATCCTTCCACCTCAGCTTCCCAGTAGCCGGAATTACATGCATGCGCTACCACGCCCGGCTGATTTTTTTATTTATTGTAGAGATGAGGTCTCACTGCCCAGGCAGGTCTCGAACCCGCGGGCTCAGGCAATCCACTCACTTCAGCCTCCCAAAGGCGCAGGATTACAGGCTGAGCCACCAAGCCTGGCGCAAGTCCCCTTGTTGATGAGGCGTGCCTTCCCTTTCTTATAGTATTATGATGCTTGTTCAAGGTCTGCTTCTGAGTGAGAGCATGTAGTACTCAGTTCTTTGTTTCTGTCAGAGTAGTTTCAAAAGTCATATTCTAATTATGTGGATATAAGAGCTGAGCCTCCCTTAAACTCTGCTGTCATAGGCAGTATTCAGAACAGATTTTCTGTGTCCCATGCAGGCTTCATAAGGAGTTGAGAACTCCTTAGGTAGTTCTAGCATTTTCTTCTTTGAGTATTTGTGATGAACATTTCTTCTCCATAATTTTGTGCCATATGTGTCATTATTGTGTAGGCTTGAGTTGTCAAGGCTGATACTGGACAGTATTTCTTACCTTTAAAGCTTGCCTACATTTTGAGTCACTTCCATGCTGTGACTGTGTGGGCAACTGACCAAGCTTTCTTTGCTTGTAAAAGCAATATGGCGCACCTTGTAGTGGATTTTAAAGTATTTACAAAGTCATCTTTATATTAGATTAGTCACCGATTGCTAATTCCATCTAAAGGTACCGAGAGGGATTTAATTCAAAATGAGAGTAAAGAATAGAAACACCTCACCAAGCTGTATGTGTTATTAATGACTGCAGTGGAATGTACTGATTGCATGGCCTCTGGAACCAACCTACCTGAGTTCAAATTCTGGCTTATCCAGAATTTGATAAGTTGTATGATCTTGAGAAAATTACCTAAACTCTGTCTCAGTTTTGTTGTATATGAAAGGGGAACATTAATAGATGTATACCTACCTCATAGATTTGCGTAGGAGTTAAGTATAATATGCCTAGAATGGTTGCAAACACATGCTAGGCTATTGCTATTATTTTTATTGCCATTATTCCATTAATCAATGAGGTTTTTCCTAAAACTGCTCTTTAGTTTACGTGAAACTCTTAGCCATTTTCTATATAATTGTCTAAATTTCCCATGCCTGATCTATTGCTAATTTTAGTTATTATTCTTATCTATTTTGGAATTTCCATTTTATTTCTTTTTAAATTGTAATGCTTGATGTAAAAAAAAAAAATGTTTGCTACTTTTTTCTCTCTTTCTTGATCATGTTAACCAGTGCTTACAAAAACTTTAAATAATTAATTCTAGTATCTAGACCAACTTTGGATCTGTTTGTATTGTTTGATGTTCTGTCTTTTGATTATTTTGTTATAGGTCTTGTCATGCTGTAATTTGGTTGAATGTCTGACAACTACAAAAGACTTTAGATGATGCTAGTTACCTCTGTTCAGAAAGGTCTCACCCTGTCTACTAATGTGAAGATAGTGTGTGTGTGTGTGTGTGTACACACATGCCTGACCACACTGTGGTGCTGGGCAGTCTTCTCAGAGATGTGGCAGTGGTACACTCCTGGTAAAGTTCATTGAATGTCTGACAACTACAAAAGACTTTAGATGATGCTAGTTACCTCCGTTCAGAAAGGTCTCACCCTATCTACTAATGTGAAGATAGTGTGTGTGTGTGTGTGTGTGTGTGTGTGTGTGTGTGTGTGTGTGTACACACATGCCTGACCACACTGTGGTGCTGGGCAGTCTTCTCAGAGATGTGGCAGTGGTACACTCCTGGTAAAGTTCAGACTATCTCTGGTTTGCCTTTCTTCTTCAGACATAACCTTCCAAGGATTCCACTAAAGAGTCTGCGATGTTTACCAGTTTCCTCATTCTGTTGGACCTAAACTCTAATCCTGTCTTCTTAGGGCTGTGGGCTGCTAGATTCTGGCTTTGATTTTCAGAGGTTTCTTGATTTGCTTTTCAGTCTCCTGTGCCATACAACTTTAGCACTCAGGAGACGTTCCTGAGGGGAACACCTGCCCTGAATGGGCTCGGTTCACCATGCAGTCCAGCTT